CGAAATCGCTTTGATGTGTACACTTTGAAAGAGCACCAAAAATAGTACCAAAAACCGTTTTTCCAAAGCCCCGGAGGCCCTGGTTTATTGCTACGATTTTTTGAACTTTTGGTTTGATGGTTTCGACTAAAGGGGGACCACATGGATTTTTTCAAAAACGGGCCGCGCGCTTCCGATCGCTGTAAGCAGACCAGTCGAAGCGCTTTGAAACGCTGATTCCGGGTTGCTAGCTGGCTCAGCCGTCACATCGCTCCCCGGCGCAACCGCAGCTCGAAGACCGCTAATCCTCAATTCAGCCAAATCGGGCGTTTCCGCATCCCGGACGCTATTTCGTAGCGGAATCGCAGGGCGGGCTTCACTGCTTGCTTCGCACCCGCCCCCACCTGGCCCACTAGTGTGGAGGGGTTCCCAAAGCTTTCCACTGAGTAGGCCAACGATTGACCCTCAGCTTGGCTTGAAGCTTAGGCTTAGGCTTAGGCTTAGGCTTAGGCTTAGGCTTAGGCTTAGGCTTAGGCTTAGGCTTAGGCTTAGGCTTAGGCTTAGGACGAGCCCCCGGACTGGTATGCTTTTTTGGGCCAGCCGGATTTGGTGGGGCATTTTTCTCGTGCGTTGCACCGCTAGATAATTGGTTGTTGATTTTTGTTGGATCGGGCTACGAAGTTAGCCGTCCATAGCAGCCCTAGCCTAAGCACTACACCGAGAGATTTCCGGAACGGCGCCGGCTACCTTAGTTAGAATAGGGTGGTGGTCCCCCAGGAGGTGTCGTGGCTGATGCTCCACCCTCAACCTGCCCTCCCGTACGTAGAGTAGCTCTAGCATCTACCTGAGCTGCGATCTGCTGAGACCCGGCCTTGAATGGGACCCTTTTTTACGACGAATTTCGCAATAATATCGAGCCCCCTAGATCAACCAGATATATCTGTGCGCGTATTTTTTGCTACCGAAAACGGTTTCTTCCGAGACCCCGGAAGCCCGGGTTTAATTGCTACGATTTTTTGAATGTCGCAACTGGGCAGCCCTCGTCGACCAGGCCTTCCAAGCCCGATTCCGCAAGAAATCGACCGCGAAATCGCTTTGATGTGTGCACTTGAAAGAGCACCAAAAATAGTACCAAAAACCGTTTCTTCCGAAGCCCCGGAGGCCCTGGTTTAATTGCTACGATTTTTTGAAACTTTTTGTTTTGATGGTTTACGACTAAAGGGGGACCACATGGATTTTTTCGGAATTTACCAAAAAAATTTCGAGAAATTCATCACGCACTTCGATGCGGAGCTGAAAGAGCACGAAAAATAGTACCGAAAACCGTTTTTTCCGAAGCCCCGGAGGCCCTGGTTTAATTGCTAGGATTTTTTGAATGTCGCAACTAGGCAGCCCTCGTCGACCAGGCCTTCCAAGCCCGATTCCGCAACAAATCGACCGTGCGAAATCGCTTTGATGTGTGCACTTGAAAGAGCACCAAAAATAGTACCGAAAACCGTTTCTTCCAAAGCCCCGGAGGCCCTGGTTTAATTGCTACGATTTTTTGAAACTTTTGGTTTTGATGGTTTACGACTAAAGGGGGACCACATGGATTTTTCGGAATTTACCAAAAAAATTTCGAGAAATTCATCACGCACTTCGATGCGGAGCTGAAAGAGCACGAAAAATAGTACCGAAAACCGTTACTTCCGAAGCCCCCGAGGCCCTGGTTTAATTGCTACGATTTTTTGAAACTTTTGGTTTTGATGGTTTACGACTAAAGGGGGGACCACATGGATTTTTCGGAATTTACCAAAAAATTTCGAGAAATTCATCACGCACTTCGATGCGGAGCTGAAAGAGCACGAAAAATAGTACCGAAAACCGTTTTTTCCGAAGCCCCGGAGGCCCTGGTTTAATTGCTAGGATTTTTTGAATGTCGCAACTAGGCAGCACTCGTCGACCAGGCCTTCCAAGCCCGATTCCGCAACAAATCGACCGTGCGAAATCGCTTTGATGTGTGGACTTGAAAGAGCACCAAAAATAGTACCGAAAACCGTTTCTTCAAAAGCCCCGGAGGCCCTGGTTTAATTGTTACGATTTTTTGAAACTTTTGGTTTTGATGGTTTACGACTAAAGGGGGACCACATGGATTTTTCGGAATTTACCGAAAAAATTTCGAGAAATTCATCACGCACTTCGATGTGGAGCTGAAAGAGCACGAAAAATAGTACCGAAAACAGTTACTTCCGAAGCCCCGGAGGCCCTGGTTTAATTGCTACGATTTTTTGAAACTTTTGGTTTTGATGGTTTACGACTAAAGGGGGGACCACATGGATTTTTCCCGAATTTACCAAAAAATTTCGAGAAATTCATCACGCACTTTGATGTGGAGCTGAAAGAGCACGAAAAATAGTACCGAAAACCGTTTCTTCCAAAGCCCCGGAGGCCCTGGTTTAATTGCTACGATTTTTTGAAACTTTTGGTTTTGATGGTTTACGACTAAAGGGGACCACATAAATTTTTCGGAATTTACCAAAAAATTTCGAGAAATTCATCACGCACTTCGATGCGGAGCTGAAAGAGCACGAAAAATAGTACCGAAAACAGTTGCTTCCGAAGCCCCGGAGGCCCTGGTTTAATTGCTACGATTTTTTGAATGTAGCAACTAGGCAGCCCTCGTCGACCAGGCCTTCCAAGCCCGATTCCGCAAGAAATCGACCGTGCGAAATCGCTTTGATGTGTGCACTTGAAAGAGCACCAAAAATAGTACCGAAAACCGTTTCTTCCAAAGCCCCGGAGGCCCTGGTTTAATTGCTACGATTTTTTGAAACTTTTGGTTTTGATGGTTTACGACTAAAGGGGGGACCACATGGATTTTTTCAAAAACGGGCCGCGCGCTTCCGATCAATGTAAGCAGACCAGTCGAAGCGCTTTGAAACGCTGATTCCGGGTTGCTAACTGGCTCGGCCGTCACATCGCTCCTTGGCGCAACAGCAGCTCGAAGACCGCGAATCCTCAATTCAGCCAGGGTGGTGGTCCCCCAGGAGGTGTCGTGGCTGATGCTCCACCCGTACGTAGAGTAGCTCTAGCATCTACCTGAGCTGCGATCTGCTGAGACCCGGCCTTGAATGCGACCATTTTTACGTCGAATTTCGCAATCATATCGACCCCCCCCCCCCCTAGATCAACCAGATATATCTCTGAGCGTATTTTTTGCTACCGAAAACGGTTTCTTCCGAGACCCCGGAAGCCCTGGTTTAATTGCTACGATTTTTTGAAACTTTTATTTTTGATGGTTTACGACTAAAGGGGGGAAAACTAAAGGGGGGGACTAAAGGGGGGAAAACAGTTACTTCCGAAGCATCGGAGGCCCTGGTTTAATTCCTACGATTTTTTGAATGTTGCAACTAGGCAGCCCTCGTCGACCAGGCCTTCCAAGCCCGATTCCGCGAGAAATGCTATAACTCACTTAATTTGGTTAGTTTGGTGGTACACCAAGTTTTTGAGTGTCGACGCCAGCGTAGAGACTACAAATAATTTATTCGATCTTCTTCCGCTTTCCGGCTGAAATCACAAAAGATAGCCGCGAAATCAAAAGTCGAATTGCCCGAACCAATATGTACAACAAAAACATTGCAAACAGGAAAACACAAACCAAAATATCTAAATTGTAGGTGACGACCCAGCCGAGCTCGCCGGCCGGCGTTTTCAATTCGGGAAGGCCGCCGGATGCGATAGCGAATTCGGTCCATCTAGGAGTAGTGTTAGGTGTTTTTCTGGGAACGTTGTAGGTAGATTTATTGAAGCCGGATGCTATAACTCACTTAATTAATTTCTCGGCGGCCGAAAAGGGCTTGGCTTTGAGGAGGGCTTGAATTCGGAGGGCACCTTCGGTATACCTGAAAGGCACGATTATTTCTCTCTCACTCTAGCTCTCTCTCTCCCGTCTCTCTCTCTCTCTCTCCCTCTCCCTCTCCCTCTCTCTCCCCCTCTCTCTCTCTTCCCTACTTCGTGTTGTCGAGCATCTCCTCAAGTGCAGCCTTCAGCTTCTTCCCTCCAGCCAACAAATCCTGCCTTCGAACCGGGATCCCCCAACCGTTTTTCTCAAGCACGCGACCGTTTCTGGATCCAAAGTCTTTCAGGATAAAAGTTTACGTACCTGAATTGGTCGGCAAAGAATGGTATCGTAATCATCGGTTTTCCGGCATGTGCGGCCTCCATAATAGAATTGTAGCCACCGTGAGCGATCATGCATTTTAGACGTGGGTGTTCTGAAAGAGAGTTTAGGTTTGGGCTTGGCTTAGGCTTGGGCTTAGGCTTAGGCTTGGGCTTAGGCTCAGGCTTAGACCTAGGCTTAGGCTTAGGCTTAGGCTTAGGCTTAGGCTTAGGCTTAGGCTTAGGCTTAGGCTTAGGCTTAGGCTTAGGCCTAGGCTTAGGCTTAGGTTTAGCCGTTATACTCACTTAATAAAGCACTTTGTGGCGCCCATTGGGTCAGCACAACGTTTCCTGCTCCTTCCGCGAATCGGGGTGACACCTGAATATTTTTTTTTCAAGGGCTTGTAGATTGGCGGTGGCTAACTAGCAGAGATTCTTGGTTGGTGGCGGAGCGCGGAGACCAGCTCCAAAAAGAGTGGACTGACACTATCGTAACGATCGATCTTGGCGATGAAGTGGTGATCGGCGAACGACTTGAAGACGTCGATCAATGTTTTCATGACTTCAGCGGGTAGTTGAGAGGTGTTCACGTTTGAGCCAAAAGAAAAGAAGACCACTCCTTCTTTTCCTTTCTCCATTTCAAGGGCAAACTGCTGGAAATGACGGGCTAATACGAGCAGGCTAGCAGAGATTTTTTAGGAAAGGACAGCCTAGCAGAGATTATTTAGGAAAGGGCAGGCTTACAGAGATTTTTTGAGAAATCCGAGAAATCACCTCATCCAACGGCTTCACGACGCCATTCTCCACCCCCAGCCCACCAATATGAATGATATTAGGGAATATCGGCTTCGGGAAATCGATTAACTCGTCAGTAGCGACAAAGATGACGTCAGACGATCGTTCAATCGAGGTTATCGATGGGAAATCCGGTCTAAAATTGTGTTCACCAAATTTTTCCTTAAGAATCCCTGCTAGCCTGCCCAAATCCCGTTAAAACTTGCCCAAATCGCTTCCGGAACTCGCGATCGATTGGGGCGTAGTGAGAGTAGTAGCCGAAGCCGATCTGATTGGCAAGGTGTTCGATGATGTTCTAGAAAACAAATGGCTGGGTTTTGATGTGTTTCAGTTTCATTAGTGCGCGGAAAAGGCATATTTCACATAACAGATACCTGAAACCGTTCCGAAAACGTTGGGCGATCGCCAAAGTCGACATTTCCGACGGATGGTAGGTAGGAAAGTGGGTGAGGAAGGCCGATAATCCATGACATATGATCCATTATAGGGCAACTAAAAGAGAGAGAAAGAGAGATTAGGAGAGAGAGTGAGAGAGAGAGAGCGTACCTCGATATCCAGAATTTCCGCTTGATCCCCAGATATTCTGCCAATCCGTGCCCGCATCCATTTAGCTGCTCCCCGAAAAACGCGTCAAACTTTTCGGCCTTCAGCTTTTCCAGCTCATCCGCTTTGTCTAGCAGTTCTAAACAGATTTCTCGACATAAATTTCAAATTTTACCTGCGCAACATGTCGTGAACGCCTTCGTGAAGTCGCGCATGGCGCTTGTGTACTAAACGAAAGTGTTGGGAAGGGAGTGAGGGAGGGAACGGAAGAGAGGGAGAAAGACAGAGAGAGAGAGAGAGAGAGAGAGCGAGAGAGATAGAGAGAAAGAGAAATAAACCTACAGTAAGTGTGCTCTCGTCTGCAAACGCGGCCGAAAACCCAGTACCAGCCCGCACCAGTACGTCGCTGAACCCGAAAACCGGCCATTTCCGGGCAAGGTCAGCATTCTTCACCCGGTGCCACATGTTCAGAAAGTCCGGCTCAAACAACACCTAAAATCCGTGGTACTAACTGTTTTCCAAGTCTGTTTAAAACCTAAAAAATCCCGTATTCTGGCTTACCACATCGTGGCCGGCCTTGGCCAACTCGTCGGCGATCCGCCCATTCGAGATCATGTGCGAGGCGGAGATTGTCGGGGCAAAAACGAGGATCTTGTAGGCCGAGGATACGGTAGATAGGGCGCAAAATAGGAGCAGGAGTAGAGAAGTAGACATCGTCTGAAATTTGGAGTGTGAAAAGCTAGATTTTGGTGTTTTTTATACCGGGCAAATAGCGTGTGAAAGAGAGAGAGAGAGAGAGAGAGAGAGAGAGAGAGAGAGAGCGAAGGAAGCGCCCCCCGCTAACGGTCCAGAACCAAGAAACCTACCATGTCCACCGGTCCACTCGTACCACAGTATTGTTGGGCGGGGGTGGCGGGGTGGCTCTTGGATTTTCGGCGTTCATCCCCTACGCATCCCACCTGTTGACGGCCCGAGGCGCGTAGAGAGTAAAGGGCGCAGACGGTGAGAGAGCACTGAGCAAGTATCTTTGGATTTGGATTGATAAGAAAAAATATGGAACAGATGGGATGTGAAAATCCAAAAAATCAGGTGTCGGTGAAATTTACAAAAAAAATTGTAAAAAATTAATTAAAATTGAAGGTAATCTAAATGTATCAAATCTACTGCAAAAATTCAAATGAATTGTATAAGCAGAGTTGCGGGATAAGCTAAGCTTTTGAAGCAGGATTGAATGGCTTCGAAAAGAAAATTGGGCTTAAAAGGTCTGAAAAGAAAGAAATTAATTCTTAGGGTATAAACGAAATAATGGAAGGGCTTCCCGTCAAAAACCGTAGCTGTACTTGCCAAACTCGGGGCCAGAATCCGGGTGTAAAAGCAAGAAAATACCCGCCTTTTTATAGGTGTCATGGCAACGTGAGGGACAGAGAAATAGTTCTCTCTCGCTCTCTCTGTCTCTCGCTCTCTCTCTCGCTCCCAGCCTGAAGAAACTAGAGGAAAATTTCCGGGAAATCACGAACATTGTCCTGTTTTCAGCTGTAACAAGTCGAGAATTTTTTGGCTCGAATATGTCACAGCAAAACGTACACAAAAATAGACATGCCCTGTCCATGAAAATCCTGAAAACGCGCTCGACACCTTCCAAAAAATCTCTGCCAGCCTGCCAAATCCTGGCCATGAAATAGAAATTAAGTAAGGCTTCAAGAATCTCTGCTAGTTGCTCTAATCTCTCGATTTTTTCGAAAAATTTCTGGAATCCAAAACTGACTATGTGCCGCGCAGGGGATTAGGGAGTCCATGTCCGGAACAGATTCTAGCGGATTTTGGAAACTGACGCGTACTTCTTGAGCTGTTGCGACAAATATTTTGCTGACGGCAACACGGAAGCCGTCTTTCACTCTCTCTCTCTGTCTCTCTCTCTCTCTCGCTCTCTCTCTCTCTATCTCGCCTCGGAATTCATAGTTTATTTTGGCACATTTTGTACAAAAATCATTGCAAAACAGGAAATGACGGAAATAGGGAATACGGCAATTATACTTTTTGGAATTCGGGCGGCGGGGTGACGAAGCTGTCGGCTCGGATGTCTTGTTGGAAGATGGAGTTGTCCACGACGGCGTTCTGGGCGTTGAGAGGATCGGACTGGAAACTACGGTATAGTCGCCCTCTCCCTCTCTCTCACCTGATCAAACGGAAACCCGGAGTCGAATCGCATATACTCGTCGAGGTCGAGGCCGCCAGAGCGGTTGGTGTCGAAACCGTAGAAGATGGTCGGGAAGTTTGTTCGTGGGCGGACCAGGAAGCGGACTTTTAGAAGATGGCGGACCTAAAAAGAGTATTGGGAATCCGAGGAATCTTAAAGGACCTTTGCCAGCTGACCTCATTTTGATCCAATCCACCATCTTCATCAATGTCAAACTCTTGGAAAATCCGGCCAAAGTACGCGTTTCTAAAATTTGGCTAAAAACGTGCAACGGCATCTGGCAAACACTACGGTACTGTCAGGCACTTCAGGACTCACCGTAGCTTGTCGGAGTGGCGCTCGTGTTGCTTATGGTGGGCATCGAATTCTTGGCGGGACACGCGACGATCTTCTAAAAAAAAGAAGGTCGGAGCGAGAGAGAGGGAGAGAGAACGAGAGAACGCGAGAGTGGGAGAAAAAGATAGAGAGAGAGAGAGAGAGAGAGAGAGAGAGAACCAACTGTTTGTATCCAAATGCTCGAACTCTGCCCTTCTTTCCCTTTCATAGAGCGGCTCGATGTGCAAAAATTCATCAAAGGACAGTCTCCTATCGTGATTATGGTCTACGCGGAAGAATTTTGTCGCTGGAATTGAGGAATATGCAAAGGAGGATTGATGCTTCAGCCTAATCCGAAGCCAAGCTTAAGCCAAGCCTAAGCCAAGCCGAAGCTTAAGCCTAAGCCCAAGCCTGAAAGCTCGTACCCGGATTCTCTTGAGCCTGGATCATCGGCAGTAGTCTGAATAAAGCTAATATTCCAAATATCGACAGCATTTTTCGTGCGCATTTTTTGCCTAGAAAATGGCTTATATACGCTTTTCCAGGTGTTCGTATCAGCTCCAATTTTCCAGGAAAAGCGTGTTCCACTCGCCCCAATTACCGGCTTTTCCTCGCCGTTCCTTTTTGGCGGCTGTCCGTTGCGTGTTGCCGCGCGTAATTTGTTGTTATCATTGACACTCCATGGCAAAACAAAATCACAAGAAAACCCCATAAAATTTAGGCCAAAATCGTGTTTTTTAGTGTAATTTTGTAAAATAGCCAGAATAATAAATTTACAATTTATTAGGCATTTTATATCTTAGAGGAATTGGGGATTTCGTTGGGAATGTTTAAAAAAGAAAAAAGGAATTTTCAACTTGAAAATCACGCTTTGAATGGGATGGTGCCACTAAAATTTGCATTAATTCTTTGGAATGTGATATGAACAACGTGATGCTAAAATTAATACTTTGAGACAAGGAAAAACGTCGCGTAATCTCATCGACACCGAGAATCAGTATTTGGGGGGTCAAAATAAGATAGAGTACGGTACATTACGTTTGAGTGCGCTACTGTACGGACGAGTACATTGCAGTATCGTGCAGCACATTAGAGTACTCTACGGTACTACTAGTACGTCAGATTACGGGCATCGTACGGTAGCTTATGGTACAGCACGCCCAAGTCCGGTTGAGTATGGTAGCGTCTCGTACTGCCTCGTACCAGAAAAATAACCGAAAATCCAAAAAGATCAAATATTGAAAATGAATGATTAAATACAATAAGATCAGCGTGGCGCGGCCAGTTGGGGTGATTGGGTGGTGAGCAACTTTACAACCTCCGGTGGGGTACGGTGGTGTACGGTAGGGTACGGTAGCCGTTACGGTAGCTAGGCCGGTTTCTTGTGAATTAACGGCTGGATGGCTTCGATGTCGAGCGAGTCGACGCGCTGCACGAGGGTCTGAAATGTTTTGAGGTTACGGTGGGATCGGCGCTTCTTGACGGTCATGAAGTTGGCTTCCAAAAGAATCTCTGCTAGCTTGCCCGGCCTCGAAAATTTATCCTCAAAGAATCACTGCTAGTTACCGCCGCTTCGAAAAGATTTGCTGGGAATATTTTCTTAAAGAATCTCCGCTAGCTTGCTTTTTCCACATCCGGTTTTTCCTCTGCTGGTGAGTGGACGCTGCTGACCCGCCTTTGGCCACCATTCACTTCCGTGATTATCGATTGGCAACTGTCGGCGATTTTTGCGCACTAAAGAGAGGAGTTAGTGAGAGAGAGAAAGAGAGAGAGAGAGAGAGAGAGAGAGAGAGAGAGAGAAAGGGAGAACAAAAACGTACCGAGCCCCGGAATTCCCTGCTGTATCGCGGAGAGGTCCCTGGCTTCCGGTCTGACAATCGCGCGTAAACAGGACGGTAGAGTACAACCTAAAAAAGAGTTTACCTTGTCTCCTCTTTCTCTCCATCACTATCTCTCTCTCTCTCTCTCTCTCTCTCTCTCTCTCTCTGTCTCCACTCACCTCATCCTCCCCGATGACGTTCTCTCCATCATAAACCTGCCCCAACCGGAATTCCGGGCTCACGTACTTCCCGCCCTCAACGTGATTCGAGCAGAAATCTGGATTTTAAAGGGATGGTGACAGCTTGAACTGCCTACCATAGTCAATGGGAGGAGGTGGTGCATTCGGAATCCGATACGGAACCGTCGCGACGGTAAGTGGAAAATCGAGATGCAGGGTCTCGTTGCCTTTTTCGTCTTCCAAGCAGACCTAGAAAAATCTAGGATTTTGAGTGCCTCAAGTAATCTATGCTAGCCTGTCAAAAAATCCATAGATCTCAGCAATTTAGCCCTAAATCGATTCTCCGCTGCCTCAAAAATCTTCGCTAGTTTGCTCTCAAGGGCTCAGCAAGTTCCTAAGAAATCTCTGCTAGCCTGCGCTGGATTCCTCAAAAAACCCTCGAAAACTCACCCGTAAAATGTAATAAATCTGTATCAGCCGGCACACGCCTATCAATGTTGGCGGGACGACGGGGAGGCGAATCGGATGTTCTAACGTCGAATCATATTTACCAGTCGAATTTGCAGCAATGGCCGGGGATCTAAATATTTCTTTTGTTTTTATTATATGGCATTCTCTCTCCCCCTCCCTCCCTCTCTCTCCCACTCTCGCGCTCTCTCTTTCTCTCTCGCTCTCTCTCTCTCTCTATCTCTTAGTTCTTCTGTAAATGACTTACTTGTGCTCGAAAACCGTGCAGACTTGGGATTTGCTTTCACCAAGGACGCCCTTCTCGATGAAGTATTCGACGTGCTAAAAAATTGCATATTTAACCAGGAGAGAGAGAGCGAGAGAAAGATAAAGAGAGAGAGAGAGAGAGAGAGAAAGAAAGAAAGAGAGAGAGCGGGAGAGAGAGCGAGGGAAGGAGCAAAGGCAGGTTCAGAAGCTCTCCGGCCCCTTTAGATGCTTTTCGGCAGATAAATCGGTGAAGGCACCATCCCTTTAAAAGCGTGGTTTGCAAGACATACCTGTGTTAACTTCACGTTGATCACCTGCGTGGAACGCTGCCGGTTCTCCACCTAAAAAGTAAACTTAATTGGCTCTAATCTTTCGCAATCTTTGGTTCTCTCTCGCTCTCTCTCTCTCTTTCTCTGTCTATCTCTCTCTCTTTCTCTCTCTCTCTCTCTCTCTTACCTGTGCTCGTACTCGTATATTCTCCCCGCAAACGTAAGCGGTCCGATCCAGCGTTATCCGCAATGCCAGGGCTCCTCGCTGACAGCACCAACAACACGTCACTTTCCGGTCCTGTCCGGTCAGCGGTTGCTAAATTCAAGGTTTGTTGGTGGAAGTATGATTTCACGACCCCCGTGAAACGCCTAAGCCTGAGCCTAAACCAAGCCTAAGCCTACGCCCATTCGGTTCGTCAACTGACCAAGTATTTCTCCTCCATACAGTCGATATGAGGGCCAATTATTGTAAAATATTTGATGCCTTGAGGGGAGCTCGCGTAGGGGACATCGATGATTACCTGAAAAACAGTTTTCTCAAGAATTCCTGCTAGCTTGGCTTTTCCCAAAGAATCTCTGCTAGCCTGCCGGAACGAATTTTTTAACATTGGCCCTAAATGAGCTCTGTGAAGACACCGCGGCTTCCTCAAAGAATCTCGCAAGCTTACCTAGCTCTCCCTGATGAAATTGTGCTAAATGATCTCTGCTAGCTGCCCCATATTCACAACCCTCTCTTAGCTTCATTCACCACAGAAACCATTTTCCTAAATGGTGTCTGCTAGCTTGCCCTTTTTTCCTTATTTTTGTGTTACATTTAGTAACCAGCCGCTTCCAGCGGCTTCGCCGCTGCAAGCGGCTGGACTTCGGGCTACCCCCTGCACTCCCTCCCCCTCGCCGAAACGCGCGCGGCCTGGCTCACTATGTCCAAAATCACCCCAACCTTCGTCCCCCACCCCTTTTACTAAGGAAAAACTTTCAAAGTTAATTTTAATAATCTAAACTAAAAGTTTTTAATAATTTTTTTATCAGTTTGGGGGGTTTCTGACCACGCTCTATCCGAATCCGAAGAGACCTAAGCTCTAGCTCCTTTCCCCTTCGAGTTGAATCTGGGACATGACGCACAGACAGACAGACGGACAGACACCACAGCAAAATTATTATAGTTGATTCCATTTTCCTAAAGAATCCCTGCCAGCTCACCTTGATGTAATACCGTATCGTCCCGTAGCGACTCTCATACGAACACGGCAACGTCGTCTGGGGCAACGAGAAATGAAACGGAAACTGGTGCATGCCCCTCGGCAGAATCGGGATTGATTCCGAATCGTCGGCTTTATCTGAAAACCCTGGCTTCACTGGGCCTTAAAAATATTTTGGGGTGTTTTGTGCGGGTTTGGCATCGTCAGATTAGTGGGGGTAAAAAATGGATGGCACGCAAAAAAAATTGGATTTGCATGTAAAGGGGCGTATGGTGGAATTTACGTGTCCCTAGTGGTTTCTGCTAGCCTGCCCTTTCCTAAACAATCTCCGCTAGCCTGTCCTTTCCTAAAGAATCTCGGCTAGCCTGCCGTTTTCTAAAGAATCTCTGCTAGCTTGCCCTTTCCAAAGGAAACTCTGCTAGCCTGCCCTTTCCCAAAGAATCTCTGCTAGCCTGCATTTTCCTAAAGAATCCCTGCTGGCCTGCCCTTTCCTAAAGAATCTCTGCTAAGTGTCCTTTCCTAATGAATTTTTGCTAGCCTTCCCTTCACAAGCAAATCCAACCCATAAAAAATGCATAAAAACTAGGGTAAATTAGCATATCCTCAAAAAAATATGGGACATGCCTGGGTCCTGGGGTTCAACGGGGCGATCTGAAACTGTTCATAGCAAAAAAGTAAAAATTTCGTATCTCAGAAACCCTGAAAATGCGACCCACCTTTGCCCCAGATGAGCGTCTTCTCGTCCAACACGTATTGGTCGTCCTTTACCGTACGCCGCTCGCCGGATTTGACAACTTTTAGGATGGCATGCACCTTGCCGCGCAGGAGGACACGGATACCTTAAACAGAGTTTTAGGGTGTTTGGCGGTCAATTCCCCAAAGGATCTCTGCTTGCGTGCCCTATGCAAAAATCTTGCAGAAAGCCTAAGCCTAAACCCAACCTGAGCCTGAGCCTGAGCCTAAGCCTAAGCATGAGCATGAGCACAAGCCTAGGCTTAAGCCTTTGCCTAAGCCGAAGCCAAAGCCGAATCCGAAGCGATTGCCTAATCGAAGCCTAAGCCTAAACTTAAGCCTTGCCTAAGCCTAAAGCAAGGCCAAGCCCAAGCCCAAGCAAGCCAAAGCCTAAGCACCTATACCTGCCTCCCGCCCCAATGATATCCGCTAGCCTAGCGTACCATGTTCGTATTTTTAGCTCCGAAATGGCCTCTGCTAGCTACCCCCCAAAACGCACCCCTAATCTTGACGTTCTCCGTATTCTCGAGCAGCACGGTCCCCTGTAGCTGTTCTCCGGCATAGTAGACGTCCTTCTGGAGACGAATATCGAATGACGAGATATAATCCATGATCTGGCAGCTCTGTCCGTAGCCCTGAAGGCCACCGTCTTCCGTTTCTGTTCCGTCGTCCCGGCTGCAGTTCCCGGCAGCTACGATGGCCACCCGGGGTTCGACCTGTAACGAAGGAATTTTGCATAAATCGTATCGTAAAATGTGATTAAAAGGCTGGGAAGGCAAAGGTTAGACACGCCGGACTCTTTCGTGAGTTGGAGAGAGTAAGTGAGAGAGAGAGAGAGAGAGAGAGAGAGAGAGAGAGAGAGAGCGAAAGAGGAAGACAGAGAGATTATTCCAAAAACTCTAAAGATACAGTGACACCTAGACTTCTTCGATTTGATGCCCTCACCAGCGGCGCGATATTCTCCAACAATTTCTGGCACATTGCGGCCGCCATCTGGGCCACCGTTCAGTGAATTATCGCGTTGATTTGGGGTCCCAAGCGGCAAGGGCGACCCAAATGTTCCGCGAGAATACGGTCGCTGTGTAGCGGAATTTAATGGAAAACTGCGGTTGAAACCCGCGTGGGCCTGGCAGTACGGTCGACAGTAGCGTAGTGGAATTTACAGCGCCGGAAATGCAAATGCCGCAGTAGAGTATTGCCGTGAAATATCAGCAAAATCAAGGAATAGGTATGAGAACTTGGGTGTCGCTAGGAGCGTCGCGTCGCCCAAAAAAGTGGGCTGAAGAAGCGTGCCACAATTTCCGGCGGCCGCCGTTGTTAGCTTCTTGTCGGAATGGGGGAGAGGGGAAAAGATGTTTTTTTTTCCGCAAAGAATCACTGCAGGCTTGCCTTAGGCTTAGCGTAGGCTTAGGCTTCAGCGTTCCGTCCAGAGTAGCATTCCGGCGTTCCGTTCCGGTAATGACGGCAGGGCTCAGCTGGCGCGTGGAAGTGGTCAGGGGCTATCTGCCTCCGTCCGCCCCACCGGAATACCCTGGGGGCCAAAGTGCCGACAGGGAGTGGCCCTCGGGATCCATCATCCATGGCAAACCCCCAGGAAAAACTGGAAATATACCCCTGGAAAATCAGGGGTTGAGGGGGGTCGTCAATCTTCAGGGTTGCGACTGCAGCTGTTTCAAAGAGACTTGGAAAAGCGGATCCGGGACTGGACGCTGTTTGTCAATGGCTAGGAATCTCAATCAGAATCGACCCCATCCATCCACTAGGTCTCCACGGCTACGCGGTACGCCTAGTAACGCGGATTAGAGAGAATTCAGGTTTTTGGATTCGTTTAAACAGTGTCGGGAGCGAGTGAGCAAAAGAGAGAGCGAGAGAGATACAGGCAGGGAGATAGAGAGCGAGCGGGAGGCAGAGTGAGAGAGAGCGAGAAAGACATATAGATTGAAGGCAAAAAATTGTTATTTGGTTTACGAGATAACGCAAAAAGGAGAGACAGATAGAGAGTGAGAGAGAGAGAAAGAGAAAAATTTTGCTTCACAAATACAGCTGTACGACTACAAATTACACCCCTGAACGCCGAAAATCGTTTTGTGCCAGCCTCTGGAATCTCACGAAATTATTTTGAGCAAGAAAACGCAAAAAATGACAAAGCCCCCTTCAAAAGCCCCCAATATGGGCTTTACAAGCGCTCGGGGCGAGCGCCAGGGTGACGATGCCGTCCCCGAAGAAGTGATGCTTTTAATAGCGGATGAAATGGGGGTGGTGGATGTGTTGTTGTGTGTGTCGGCTTTGGAAAAAGGGAAAAGGGTCCCACCCCGATATCTGCTACCCCTTTTCCCCCATTTGGCCAGAAGCCATGGCAACTCGGAGGGGGGAGCGATGCCCAAGTGGGGGTATTTTGGGTGGGAATTTCGATGGAAAAATTAGGCTAGCAAAGATTCTTTAGCAAAGGGCAGGCTAGCAGATATTCTTTAGGAAAGGGCAGGCTAGCAGAGATTCTTTAGGGAGGCTGGCCAAGTGCTGTATCGAGAAATCAAATCGTCATTAAGGCAGCAGGCAAGCTAGCAGTGATCATTAGGGAAGGCATGCCGAAGCAGACCGAGAGCTATAGAAGAAAGAGAGAGAGAGAGAGAGAGAGAGAGAGAGAAACCGAAAGAGAAATAAATACACGCTTCAAAGTTCTGCTCAGAATTAGGCAAGTTTTTCCTGGAGTCGTGAAGCCGGCTCGGGGTTTCAGCTCGAGCCCGGCCGGGGTCGTGTGCCCGTAAATGCAATTCAGACCCCGGGGAGAGCTGAGGGTAGAAGCCTGAGCCCAGAGGGGAGAATCAGATGAAAACAGAATAAAAGAAGGTGGCGGAAGGGAATGAGAGCCACACCACGTCTCCGCGGCAACTCTCAAACAACACACTAGATCTTCACACGATGTGGATTTTTCTCGGTTTCCCCAAGAACATCTGATAGCCTTCTCTTTGCTAAGGAATCTCTGCTAGCCTGCCCTTTCCTAAAGAATCTCTGCTAGCCTGCCCTTTCCTAAAGAATCTCTGCTAGCCTGCCCTGTCCTAAAAAATTTTTTCTAGCCTGCCCTTTCCTTAAGGATCTCTGCTAGCCTTCCTCAAAGCTGCCAAAAACGGTCAAAAGTTTCGAAAAGAACAGAAATTTTCGAAAATAGACCCGTTTTCCGGCGGGTTCGAATTCTGTTTTGAGGCTGAAAAATGGAGCGCGCCGGAGAAGCTGAAGATGTTTTTTCCCCAAACGAAACGAAGCAATTCTCACCCCGTTGGAGTCCCAGCCTTGGGTACCAAGAGATTCCATAGGGGTCGTCGTCCCCCGAGATTTCCGGATGAGAGCGAGAGAGAGAGAGGGAGAGAGAGAGAGAGAGAGAGAGAGAGAGAAAAGCTGAACCCCATTTGGCCGGGTGCCGACACCCGGGGGCCAAAGTGGTGCCCCTGCAGGAAAGAAAAGAGAAAAAACTAGGAGAGGACACTCAAGAGTCCACAATTTCTTGACTGCGCTGGGAAAACAATTCCATTGATTTTGGCGGAAAACTTGGCAAAGGATCTCTGCTGGCTTAGGCTTAAACTTGGCTTAGGCTCAGGCTCAGGCGTAGGCTTAGGCTTAGGTGTAGGCTTGGCTTAGGCTTCGGCGTAGAATTGAGCTTCGGCTTAGGCTTTGCTTTAGGCTTACGCTTGGGCTCAGGCTTAGGCTAGGCTTTGGCTTAGATTTAGCTTAGGCAGTTTGGACACGAAAACTCAAACCAAACCAATTAAAAACATGCTGAGAATCGTCCTCATCAAGTTTACTGTACTTTCCTGCAGCCAAAAGCCCCATTTTTACGTGTAAAATTATCGAGAAAATTTCAGGGGGATGGCAACTTCTAATTACCCCCCGGCTCAGCAAATAAGCCAGGGTGTCACCGCGCGAAAAAATGGCTGAAAGGGGCCCTCGAAAATAGCCGAGCCCGGGGGGCAGAAGGCGGCAATTAATTCCGCAACACTACAAATGGCAATTTCCTGGGGGTTGGGGGTCTCGAAGGGAAGGCCTGGGACGGGAGGAGGGCGCCGAAGCCTGGGGGTACACCAATTTCCTGGGCTCGGAAATTGGGAGTGGTTTAAAGGGGTTGGTGAAGGGAGTAGGCGAGTAGATGCGGCGGCTTGATAATTAGGCTTAGGCTTAGGCTTAGGCTTAGGGTTAGGCTTAGGCCTCGGCTAAGGCTTAGGTTCAGGCTCAGGCTAAGGCTTAGACTAAGCTTCAAAAATGGCTTTGCAATGCCTTTAAAAATTTAGCATCAATTTTGTCGGCCGAGCCATGCCACCCTAAAATGTGCCCCCATTCCCCTTGCTGCTGCTCCGATTTGTTCGCGTGGCCGAGTTCGAGACGCCCGACCGGAAGTGGTGCTCCCTCGCCTCGGCCCGCAAGGAGGTTCTGCGCACTCGGCTCGTGGTGGAGCTCAGAACCTAAGGCCAGACGAGAATTTGCAGATGCTTCGGCTTAAGATAAGGCTTAGGCTTAGGCTTGGACTTGGCTTAGGCTTAGGCTTGGACTTGGGGTTGGGATTATGCCTAGCGTGGGCTTATGCTTAGGCATAGGCTTAAGCTTAGGCTTAGGCTGAGACTTAGGCTTAGGCATGGGAATGGCCTTAGGTTTAGGCTTAGGCTTAGGCATGATCTTAGGCTTGGGCTTAGGCATAGGTCTAGGCTTAGGCTTCTGCTTAGGCTTAGACTTAGGCTTAGGCTTAGGCTTAGGCTTAGGCTTAGGCTTAGACTTAGGCTTAGGCTTAGGCTTAGGCTTAGGCTTAGGCGGCTTCACCCAAAAGCCAAGACAATAATTTGGAAATGGAAATTCAATTGGCGGGGGTGAAAATGGGGGAATTGGGCGGCTTTTTGCGGGTAAACGCGCCCTCCCCCTCTGGATGGCTGTGGTCGGTGCCTAATAAAGGGCGAAATTGTGGCTTTTCGTGTGTGGCGTGGGACACGGGGGTCTAGCGGAGGACGAGGCGGAGGAGGCGGGACGGATGAATGGCCTGAGGGCACATTCGGGACCCACAGCCACCACACACCCACACACAATTGATTATCCGGGGGTGTGGATGGGAGCCGGGAAAACAGGGAGCAAGAGCTCGGAAATTGATTCAAGGGATATGTGCGGCTAATTTTTTTGTCTTGACTTCTGGCGAAAATAAAAAATCAGACTCAATTTTCGGAGGAAGAAGCTGTTACTGTCCCTTTAAAGGCACGAAACACTGTTAAAAGCTCGAATTCGAAGCCTAAGCCTAAGCCTAATCCGAAACCTAAGCCAAGCCTAAGCCTAAGCATAAACCTAAGTCTAGTCCGAAAGCTAAGCCCAAGCCCAAGGGTCGGCTAGCAGAAACGCTTTGCGGAATAACCTACGACGCCAGGGCTGCGGACAGATATTGGGAATATCGAAATCCCCTGAAAAACAAGAGATATCGCGAAAAAGGGGGATTAGCAGGTGAGCTGGGCCCTGACAGGATTCGCATCTGAATGGCGCAGCGGGAAAATAAAGCAAACTGGGGGAATTGTACAAAATTTCTAAAGATGGGCATAGGCGAGGCTTAGGCTTAGGCTTAGACTTAGGCTTAGGCTTAGGCTTAGGCTTAGGCTTAGGCTTAGGCTTAGACTTAGGCTTAGGCTTAGACTTAGGCTTAGGCTTAGGCTTAGGTTTAGGCTTAGGCTTAGGCTTAGGCTTAGGCTTAGGCTCAGGCTTAGGCTTAGAGTTAGGCTTAGCGAGTGCAGGGCACGTGGGCCCTTCATTCTACCCAAAAATGGTTGAAGACCCAAAAACACTCGAAAAACCGTCTTCATCGAATCGAAGGGCACCGTCCTGAGGCCCAAAACAAGAGCCCACCACACCCGGGGGGTAATAACCGTCGGGGAATTGGGTTGGTGGTGGCTTTTTTGCGCCTTGTGGGCCCTAAAAAGGCCCAGGGGGCCAGAAATAATGAGGGTTGTGGGGGGTATTGGCTGGGTGGAAACATGTGGTGAAACGGCGTATGGGCCCAGTTGGCTATCTTTGTGGAGTCGAAAATCTCTAGGTTTGACGTGGCCATGTGGTACCGATTATAGGTAATCGGGGGATGGTTTTGATCTCTAGCTCTCTCGCTCTCTCGCTCTCTCTCTCTATCTCTCTCTCTCTCTCGTCTATGCGCTATCATTTTAAAAAGGTAGAGAGAGAGAGAGAGAGAGAGAGAGAGATAGCGATAAACAGAGAACAAGAGACATAGCGAGAGCGGAGAGAGGGGCGTGAGAGAGCAAGAGATAGTGAGGGCGAGAACGAGAGAAAGCTAAATCAAAGAATTGCGTAAAAATCGTGTTTTCCAGTAGTTTTTCGTAGGCCTCAACTCCGGACCTGGGCACACCGAGTCGACGAGGGGCTTAGGACCAAATATGAAGTGTCGGGCGGGAAGGTGAAGAGAGAGAGAGAGAGAGAGAGAGAGAGAGAGTGAGCATGAGTATGCAGTGTGTTTGGCTGGGTGGATGAAATATAATACTGGCGGCGTCTGACTGGTGGTGGGGTCGAGTCCGAAGTGCCCCCAGGGCACCGAATTCTGCCAGCCCCTCTCTCCTGGAGGCCTGGGTTGGGTACGTCTACTCGACCCGATGACGTGTCAGATTCTTTCCGGTTTTCTTCGAAAGTTGGTGTCGAATTTCGTGGTCTGGGAGTTTTGCTTTGATGCCAAAAGCAAAGACAGGATGGTGAAAAACCCGGGCTCGTCGTCGGAAATACTTTGCATCACATTTTCAAGGGACTGCGAAGGCTAGGAAATGTTGGACGAGAAAATTCTGATGCGGTTTTTGCTAGGCTTTGAGAAGGTATACTTAAGAAATACTCGCCTTGGAGCTTTCACGGTTTTCTGCATGCCACCCCGCCAGGAAAAATCAAACAATTAAAAATAATTAAAACGGATAATTTGGTACACATGTCATTTTTGTGTGCTTTATGAGTTGCCTTTAGACAATTTACCCGTTTCCGGCGTATCGACTCGCGAAAGTGGTTGAGCATCGTGGAGTTGTGGGGTGGCCCGTTTTTCTACTGCATACCTAAAAGCATGCCATCTTTTTGAAGTTTTTCAGCTAAAAATCAAAGTTTAAAGTGAAGCATAGATTCAACAAAACGGTAGAAAATCAAAGGTAGCCGGAAAGCCAGAATAAATCCGTGTAGCCGCGTTGCGAGAGCTTACGTGTAGGCTTGGCTTAGGCTTAGGCTTAGGCTTAGGCTTAGGCTTAGGCTTAGGCTTAGGCTTAGGCTTAGGCTTAGGCTTAGGCTTAGGCGTAGGCTTGGCTTAGGCTTAGGCTTAGGCTTGGCTTAGGCTTAGGCTTAACCCTATGCAGCCAGGCAAAACTAAAAAATGCCATAATGTTTAGAATCCAAAACAACCGAAAAGCCTGAAAAAATCCGGAAAACCGAATGACGAGCTCCTGGCCCAGAACGGTGGCGAGCTGCCCAGAAAAGGGTCAATTCCGGGAATTGCATTTGGGCACCGGGTGCAACAACCTGGGCCCTAAAAATGACGAAGAGAAGCCGAAAAAACCTCGCAAGAAAAAGACATTTTAGGGAATTTTGGAGATCTTAAAGGTATTTCGAAGGGAGAATCGACGGCAAACCTTTTTTTGAGGCAGGCTAGCAGAGATTCTTCGGGAAAGAGCAGGCTTACAGAGATTCCTGGGGAATGACTAATGTAACCCAGACGTCCAAACTCGATTAACTCGAGTTAAAGTCATCTGAATCCATTGGATGAGCTCCTTCTCCCGAGTTTTGAGTGAGTGGGTTTGGTTCCGGGGTGTGTGTGGGTGCTCCCTTCTTGGCATCTTCTTTTTGGGGGTCCAAGGGGAATTCTTGTGGCCCATTCATAAGTCATTCTTGGCCACGGGAAAGACGGCTGGGAGGAACCCACTCGAGACCCTCGAGGATGACCGCTTTTTTGGAAGTGGAACGAGTATGGAAACGTAGTCTGGGCCTTGATCTTGCCTCAAGAATCTCTGGTAGGCAAGAATCTCTGCTAGCCTGCCCTTTCCGAAAGAATCTCTGCTAGCCTGCCCTTTCCTAAAGAATCTCTGCTAGCCTGTCCTTTCCTAAAGAATCTCTGCTAGCCTGCCCTTTCCTAAAGAATCTCTGCTAGCCTGCCTTTTCCTAAAGAATCTCTGCTTGCTTGCCTTTTTCCAAACAATTGATGCTAACCCGCCAAAAATTATTAATAAAATCGATAAAAATATTACTTTGAGGAGACGAGAAAGTGAATCCCCACCTGCCAGTGGCCCAACCAATTTGTGGGCCCTAAGCCGGGCAGCGGCCCAGATTTTTGGCGCCGGATTATCCGCCGGCGCCTCACTCACAATAATATCTTTCCAATGCCATTTTGTGATTTTACTGTTCTTGAATTACTTTATTATAAAATACAGCTTTGGAAAATTTATTTGGTGTGAATTTCCAGAAAAATGACAAATACCCGTATACTGCAATCAGCACAAATATTCAAGATAAGCAAAAAACAGAAATCAAGAATAGGCTTGGCAAGAAAAAAATACCCGTCTTAGAGGGATATAAAAAATCGAGGTAGCAAGTCATACTGTACATACTGTAGATACGGTAGGTGTAAACAGTTCACCACCGGAATCTTCGACCTAATAACTCGAAAAGTTTGGAGTTATAGGGGAGAAGCTGGATTCTCATCTTCTCACGAGTGGCTGGGGAGACTGGGCGATGAGCACGACCCTAAAAATCAGAGATGGAGCTCGTAGTCTGTAGCTACTCGTCCGTCCTTTCCTAACCTATCTCTGCTAGCCTGCCCTTTCCTAAAGAATCTCTGCTAGTCTGTCTGCTCCTAAGGAATCGCTGCTAACATGCCCTTTCCTCAAGAATATCTGCTAGCCTGCCCACCTTAGAATCTCCAAGACAGTGCACAGCTCTTCCGGCGCTCCTTCGAAAGCAGAAAAATCCTTTGTGCGGATCCCAGACAAGTGAAGCGGCTTCGATTTGACTTGGAAGGCCCAGGAACTTCTCGATGGCGCGGAGCTAAAAAAATTTCACTGGATTCCGCAAGAATCTCTGCTAGCATGCCCTTTCCTAAAGAATCCCTGCTAATTCGCCCCCAAACCTACCTCCGGCAGCGGCTCCATCGCGAATTTGTCGCCATCAACCACGTGGATTTGTGAGAGCGGAAAGTATTTTAGCCAGTTTCTAAACATCGTTTTTGAACTACAGTTCTACGGTACCTGAGGTGTATCTCGTACAACGAATTCCGTAGCGGCTTGTAGTTTGTGGCCAATCGATTGGTGCCATTTTGGAAGATGACGTCCTCGAATTGAGGCAGTGATTTGCCAAGTTCAAGGCGGTTGTAGTAGACCTGGAATTGCATGGCTAGAAAGGGAACGAGATAGCGAGAGAGAGAGAGAGAGAGAGAGAGAGAGAGAGAGAGCGAGAGAGACTGAAAGAGAGCGAGTGAGAGATAGTGAGAGAAGGAGAGAAAGATAAGGAGAGAGCGAGGGAGAAAGCCAGACAGCTTTAAAATACCTGCGTAAAATCACTGATCGTCCGCACCACCGGCTCTCGGAGTATCAATAAAATCTTCATTTTTGGGTCCATCTCATAAACCCTCCGAGGGCAAACCAATGACGGGAAATATGCCGGCGTTTTCTCGATGGTGACCTGAAATCTACGTGAAATTTAGTATTTTTAGGCCCATTCTCGAGAATTCCAAAAATTTCCTACGGTACATTTTCACCGCCGCAGCCGCTTTAAAACAAAATTTCCTACCTCGTGCGCAAAGCTGAGCGGCATCTGCTCCTTGTACCAATCGATACCCCTGACGAAAGTGTCGTTCCGGTCGAAGAAGTGCACCTGGAAAGCGTTGAAATTGGCTTGATATGGACAAGCAAGGGCTGGAGCAAGGTCCCCTCAGGACATATGGATTGTAGGGCTTAAGGAAATGGTGAAGAGCAAACTCACCTCCCTCCTAGCCGCTTTGATCATAGGGTGTAGGGCTAGTGAATCGACCAGTGCACGAGTCCCTCCCTGAAAGGCGACAGTAATTACTATTAGAAGGTTGATTAAGCTTAGGCTTAGGCTTAGGCTTAGGCTTAGGCTTAGGCTTAGGCTTAGGCATAGGCTTAGGCTTAGGCTTAGGCTTAGGATTAGACTTAGGCTTAGGCTTAGGCTTAGACTTAGGCTTAGGCTTAGGCTTAGGCTTAGGCTTAGGCTTAGGCTTAGGCTTAGGCTTAGGCTTAGGCTTAGACTTAGGCTTAGGCTTTCACGTAGGTTTAGGCTTAGGCTTAGGCTTAGGCTTTCACGTAGGTTAGGCTTAGGATTAGGCTTAGGCTTAAGCTTAGGTTTCCACGTAGGCTTAGGCTTAGGTTTAGGCTTAGGCTTAGGCTTAGGCTTTCACGTAGGTTTAGGCTTAGGCTTAGGCTTAGGCTTTCACGTAGGTTAGGCTTAGGTTTAGGCTTAGGCTTTGGCGTAGGCTTAGGCTTAGACATGGGCTTAGGCTTAGGTTTAAGCTTAGGCTTAGGCTTAGGCCTAAGCTTAGACTTTGGATAGGTTTTGGCTTAGGCTTAGTGTAGGTTTGGGCTTAGGCTTGGGCCTAGAATTGAGCTTACCTTTCTGGCCCCGATGATCAAGCATTTAGGGAGTCGATGCTTTTTCAGTTCGAAGTGGAGGCTGAATTTTGCTTTTAGGGGGCCTAAAAGCCAGAACAACTTGTCATTTGGCTTCTCCCCATCGTGGACTTCATAGCGGTCGGGGTCAGGGCTCCCGTACGAGATCAGCGAGATTTGAACGAGCGCCAGGATCGAGAGGACGGCGCATAGGTAGATGAAGAGGTGCAGGGCGCAGCGGGGCATGATTTACATTTTGCTAAAAAATAATTTGGTCAGGCAGAGGGCAGAGAAAGAGTGACAGCGTGAGCACAAGAGAGCGCAAATCAGCGAAACACGATAGAGCTTGCTGGAGGCAAGGCAGGAAGACGAAGAAAGCGAGAGCAGGTGAGAGATAACGAGGGTCTCAGCAGAAGTAACATATCAAGAAAAGCCTAATAGTAAGGCTGGCAAAGTCAAGCGCGAAGTCAAAGTTCAAACCAACGAGTGAAGCCAGCTGTTTCTACACTGAAAAATCTGTCGGATTCACACAAGCGGAAAGTCGGCGTCGCCCATCGCCGGCGAGAATCAGGAATCAGATGACGGCCGGATTTTCCGCTTGGATTCCGTCTTTGCGGCCGTTTCTCGTGGGCAAGGTGCCAATTTGCATGTGGGTATACAGATATTTTCTCGAAAGCCCCTGCCCTAAACGAGTCGGCCTCTCGGCTCGAAAAAGTTGCACATCAAATGGGATGTCACCAAAAATGAGTAGCGTTGACATGGCGGGTGATGGGTGGATTCAGAAATGCATTCAGGGATGGGATGAGCAGGCGAAAGGAGAGCGAGAGAGCCGAACAGAAAGAGAGAGAGAGAGAGAGAGAGAGAGAGAGAGAGAGAGAGAGAGAGGGAGAGAGGGGTGGCAGAGAGTGAGTTAGAAGGCTTTTCAAAACCGAAAGTCCCAGTTTTCCACCCGTAAAGAATCGTACAACCAAGGGTCCGTGGTCGCGAGCTTGGGGCAATAAATCCCGCAAAGTTTACCCAAAAAAACGGGGGACCTAGAGCCCCTAGCCAGCCGATCGCACATTTTGTGTTTACATAATCGGGATCGGGGGGCAAGGCGACGACGACATCGTGTTGGGAGCCGGGCGAAGACGCGAAAACTGGCATAAAGTGGGAAAATGAGGGCCAGAAAACGTCAAAAAAAGTGGGGTAAGAGGTTTTTGCGTATTTTTCGAATTTTTCAATTTAAAAAATTTTTGATAACTTTCTAGCAATCAAAAACTACTCAAAACACTATAAAATACATAATCAACATAGACGAGAAAAGAAAATGATTGCCCGCCCTGCCAAAAATCTTCCGTCGTTAACGCTCCAGAAACAAATCAGTGGGTCTATCATGCATCGGCATGTCTATCGGCATGAAAAATTATTGCTGCAGAAATAACGTTCAACAAGAAGCTCAGGTAAACCTCAAAAAGCTGAAAATACCTTATCTAAAAGCTCGATCAGGTGGATGGGCCGCGTGAATGGTATTGCCAGCCGAGAAGCCAATGGCCCCGGTGGCCACCTGTCACCCCGGAGGGTCTTTTGTTAGCTGCTGAGCTTCAAAGGATTTCGCCATATAGTGGAATCAAAAAAGTAAAAACAAGAGCGAGAGAGTGGTAGAAAGCAACACACAGATGGCGAGAGAGAGAGAGAGAGAAAGAAAGAGAGTGAGATAGTGGCGAGAGAGAATGAATGAGAGAATGAGAGAGAGAAAGCGATAGAGCGCGAGCGAGCTAGAGAGACAAAGAGCGAAAGAGAGAAAGAAAGAGGCTAGGTATTTCTGGCAGAAAATCTTTGCTAGCTTTCCCCTGGAGCCAGATCGAGAAAAAAGAGAGAGAGAGAGACAGAGAGAGACCAAGAACGCGGAAAAGCTTGCCGAATCAGTAAAAACCAGTTGGTAGCCAACCGGAATTTGTATCAACCCGTAGTACCCGCCGACCTCCTAATATCCCGGGTTATTTGCCCTCTACTGATCGCTGAAGGGCCCTAATATGACTACGGTAAGTACGGTTGAAGGGGCGCGCGGCGGGACCCCTGAATATTAAGGACCCCGCGGGGCACCACTTCCGGGGGCCACGGATCCAATATAGCGGCTCAGATTAATATCCCGGGCTTCTTGGAAGTAATATTGAATTAGTGGAGTTTGATTAATAAAGTTTTAAGTGCGGGCAGACTAGCGGAGATTCGTGAGGAAGTAAACCTTCCGGGTCAGGTTTGCTAAAAAAGGGTAAATTTGTCTCCGCAAAGCCTATTAAGTGCCTGGGGGATTGCGATTAAGTGGGTTTTTAGATAGAGATAGCGAGAGAGATAGAGAGAGTGAGAGAGAGAGAGAGAAATGAGAAATGCTCGATAAACAAAGTGCGGTCTGGGTTGTTCTAGGCTTAGGCATAGGCTTAGGCTTAGGCTTAGGCTTAGGCTTGGTTTCGGCTTAGGCTTAGGCTAAGGCTTAGCTTAGGCATAGGCTTAGGCTTAGTCTTAGGCTTGGCTTAGGCGTGGCTTAGACTCGGTTTAGGCTTGCTTAGGCTTAGGCTAGCCTTGGGCAAAAATTTCTATTCTCTTTAGTACTTCTTGTAGCCACAGAATTGTCATAAAAAATCGAATTTTGGATTTGCTAGCCCAACCACTCTCCCTGAAGAATTATTTGACCTAGCGGTGCGTGTCGGTTTCCGAAAACTGGGCGGGTATATTTGCATCCAAATCCGCCCACCGGCACCCATTATGAGGGGATGATGGGCCGATTCCATTACACAACAATAGACGCTGTATACGCGCGCGACCTTGGCTGACCGCGCGGATTTTCCCGGGGCGCTCTTTATGGTGTGGCGGAGGCATGAAAAGTCTTGAACATTCCACGGCATCAAGTAAAAATTGGAAGATCAAGTAATTGTTATTTTATTTGGATAAATCAGAGTGGTAAATATAAGGTGAAAATTGAGTTAAAAACCCCAAAAAAATTGTAATTAGCGTCCGTTTAAATCACCGCTGTTTGAAGAATGGTTGCCAAATGAAAAGCTTGTGTTTTTCGGAGCGTCCCAGAAGGCTAGACCCAAAAGCTAATCCCCCAGCATGCCAGGTGATTTTGGGAGCCCAAAAAAGCCGAGTGAGAGTGATAGATAGTGAGAGAGATAGAGAGCGAGGATGAGAGGGCGGGAAATAGGGAGAGTGAGAGAGCGAGAGAGAGAGAGAATAAGAGGGCGAGAGAGCAAGAGAGATCGAGCGAGAGAGAGAGAAAACGAGAAAGTTTAAAACATCCAGGCATATTTATTTTTTGCGTGTTATCATGTACCCTCCAAGAATTTTCGGTTCCGCTTTTCTTTAGAAGCCCAAAAACGCTTCAAAATTCTAAAAATAAATATTATGCTGATAGCTAGTCATGTCAGATAGTGAGTGGGACTGAATTGAGTGACCAGCCTAGAGGGGAGGGTGGCTGTTCCGGCCATGGCCCGTGCCCCCTGAGGTGTTACAGCTTTTCGGATGTCTGTTCTCTCTCTCTCTCTCTCTATCTCTCTCTCTCTCTCTCCCTCTTTCTCCTTCCCTTACAGCTCGTCCGGTAACGGTCATTCCTCACAAATTGTCTCTGCTCGCCCCCCATCCTGGCACGACATGAGTTTGATTTATGGTAGAACAACTATGGGGCGAACAAGTGGGTGCTCGGCCATTTTTAAAGGGATGGTCAAGTCAAATGTTGTGGAGAACGAGAGAGAGCGAGGAAGAGAAAGAAAGAGAGAGACAGACGGAGAGTGAGAGAGAGAGACAGAGAGAGAAGGAGAGAGAAGGAGAGAGCGAGAGCTAGAGAGAGCTTAATGTCCATTTTCCAAACCGCGAAGCCAAAAAATACAAGCCACGAAAGCCAACTCAAGAAATCAGATCGGAGCAACAGATGCGCGCGCCCCAAAGGGTCCCTGCTGGGCGTCCGCCCTCCTGACCACGTTTATTTGGGCCAGTAGGGCCACACCCCAGCAAAAAGTCTCGTTCCGAGGGCCACCGATCCCCCGTTCCGGGCCTCCGGATGCTAATTGGGACATGTGGCTTCGGGTTTCGGGCGGATCGGTGGCGTCAAGGCGGAAAGTGTCGTGTCCACGGTCATAACGAAACTACGAAAATCAGCTTGCCGCTTTGTTGCGCGGAAGGTCAAAAAGGAAACATAGAATACTTGAATGCAAAAATTCGTTTTAAAGGGATTAAAAAATCAACGGATTAAGAAAGAGGAAAATTTTGTTAGGCGAGTTCCATTAGTTGTCTCATGCTCTTTTTCTCGCTCACCCCACGTCTCTTTCTGTTGCTCTCTCTCTCTCTCTCTCTCTCTCTCTGTCTCGTTCTCTCTCTTTCTCTCGTTCTCTCTCTCTCTCTCAGCTCTCTCTCTTTTTATTCGACGAAGGTTTTGCCTGAAATTCCATTTACAGCACACCAAGACTATTTTGAACTCCGTGATGCCCTCCAGCCCGACAACACACATGTTTCCTCTTTGGCTCGACAAGTGCTTCTTTTCTGCTCCTTTAAAGGGATCGCCACTTCAGGGAAGGGGCGCCAACTATGAAGAAGTGGGGCGACTAGCCGGTCAGATAGCGATGACCACTTTTTTGCTAGAAATGATATTTTACTTGCGGCAGATCCCACTCGCTCACTCTCTCTTGCTTTCTATCTCTCTATCTCTCTGTCTATCTCTCTCTGTATTTATTTCCGTTGCGTAATGGTTTATTTCGGCCGCAGATAAACACCCTTCTTCGTGATCCTAGATCCGCTTGTTTACCACCTGTCATCTGAAGCGGCGCGTACACCCCAGAGCGGATGCGGAGGAGACCAGCCAAAATTTCCAGAAGGGGAGAAAAGCTCCTCTCGTTTTGATCAATCAATGATCTTTTTCTAGCTCTCTCTCCCTCTCTCCGTCTCTCTCTCCCTCTCTCTCTCTACCTCCCTTGCTATCCACCACTTGTTTCACACCTTCAGACGAACCACCAGCCTGGGGGCAAAGACACGGGTGTCGCCTTCCGCCAAAATCCTAATCACTCCCGTCAACAAGGTGTTGAATGGAAAGGGACACCGCCTGGGGGGAACTTTAGAATCCGGAAAAGGATTCCACAATGTTTCATGGTGACTGTAAAGTTCCTGTTTTCTCTCAAATTTTGCGCTTCTAACAATTTTAATCAGATGGGCTCTGATGAGTCTCTTTCTCTCTCTCTCTCTCTCTCTCTCTCTCTCTCTCTCTCTCTCTCTTTCTCTCT